CTTTGCTCCCTGTGGGTGCCGGCAGCCTGGTGGCTACCAAGCCAAACCCTGCGCTTGCCATGCTGGCCTGTGGTTTGATGAGAATTGCAGGCTGGGTTGGCGTTCTTGCGTGAAACAAAGTAGCTGGTAATGACAGACTGAAATACTGACTATTTTGGACATAACAAAGTTTTTATAAAAGCAAATTTGTGTATGTGCCACTCGGGGTGGTCCCTGGCAGGGCGGGGGCTGCGGGGGCTGCAGGAGCTGCCAGATCTGGCCCTGCTTCCCTGCCAGTGTGGGTTTGCTCTTGGCTGCTGGTCGCCCTTCCAGGGCGCTGCTGCTCCTCGCTCCCACTCACAGCTTTTTCTGGGTTTGTTTTGCTCTGTGAAACTTCAGAACTTGTTTTTAACCTTTTGCTGGCGGTGGACAGGGAAAGGAGAGGAGGGCAGGAGAAGGTGACAGTGCAGAAGTGTTTTCTGATCTTAGCTGGTCCTGGTCCCACTGCTGCCAAACCTTCGTGCCTTGGCAGAGGGGAGCCCAGGGGTGTGTCTGGCCCTGGCCCACTGAGAGGGAGCCCCAGGGACAGGGGGAGAGTAGCCTGTTCCTTCTAAAAGGGCTTTACTAGAATTTTCCTAATGTATCCACCTGCTGCTGGTTGCTTCTGTATCACTTGTCTGTACGAAGGCTGTTTTTCAAGGGGTGATGCTCGGCACAGAGGAGGTTCTTCAGCTGGGGCTGCCAGGAGCTCCCTTGGAGGAATTGAAGTTGTGAAGGGAACTCGTTCTGACACCGAGCTGGCGAAGGGGAGCTGCTGGAGAGCCCCTGCAGTGCCTGCAGAGAGCACGTTCTGGGGCAGGGCTGGGGCCGGGACAGGTTCCTGCATGCAGCTCAAAGACTCAGAAGCACTTGGCAGGAGCTGGGATATCACTTCTTTTATTTTTTTCCTGCTTTTGAATGATGCTTGACTTTTTTCAACCCATTATCACATCTTTGTTAAAAAATGCAGAGGATTTTCTTTTTTTTTTTTTTCCCTCTTGCTTTCCTTCAACATGCAGACATGAAAACGCTCCAGCTCATGGCCAGCTCTCTCAGCACACTGCACCATGAGCACAGATCTGATTCTCCCCTTGCAGATGAGGCTGTCACTGCTGTCAAGGGCTGCCCTCAGCTATTCCTGCGCTAGGCTGATGTGCCTGTCAGTGAGGTTCTACAGGGCTGTGACAGATGTGTGTGTTTTCCAGCACATAGCCGGGGCTCCTGGACACGGCCCGTGGGCAGAGCTGCCATCCTGCAGGTGCTGCACGGTGCTGTCCTGGCTGGGCTGCTCCTGGGAAACACACCCGGGTCCCAGGGGAGACCTCAGCTGATTGTAGGACTGGTTTTGGTTTGAGATGGTATTTCTACTTGCTGCTGGTACAGAGAAGATGCTGTGTTGTTTAAGCAGTATCTAAGCACTAAATTAATTTTTTTCCTCCGTGACCACATCAGGAATTGCTGCTTTGATATTTGATTTTTGGTACTGTGGCTGTTTTACATCTTGGCTGCTGCCCACGTTCCCAGTGCCCTTGGTGTTGGGTGGCAGAGGCTGATATGCTTATCTGGGCCCCTAATTTTAGCTTGGCAGCTCTTGAAACATCCAGGAGCTGAACTGCAAATAGTGGGTGAGGGCTTTCTAAAGGTATTTGGCTCATGCCCTTGGAATGATTGGCCTATGAAGGAAGGCTGCTGGGTTTTAGGTGGCCTTCAACTCTGTATGATGAAAGCCTGGGCAACGGCTCCAAGGCAAAATAAGATCTTTGGAGAGGTGTTCCAGGATGGGTACAGATAAATACCGCCCAGCTCTCATGCCAGCTGCAATTTTCCTGGGGATTTAATGCACCAGGAAAATGTCACAATTGCAGGTGAAAGTAAACTGGGTTCAGACAAGTCTTAAAAGAAAGAGAATAACAGAAATGAACTGATGTGATGCTTGGCAATCTAACCCACACCTTGGGCAACACGCAGCCCGAGAACATTTCCCTCAGGACTTTGGTTTAACTCGGTCTTAAATGCTCCATATGCTTCTCCACTGCAGCTTGCCTGAGGTGTCCTCACTAACACTGACAGCACATCTCATCCCACCTGGGTCCTCTCTGGTATATACCAGTACCTGTAATGTGAATTTCTCTCTGCAGTTCACGCCTGGGCTTTTGGGCTGGCTCCCCCGTGCTCCCCTGCCAGTGTGTGGATGCCTGTTGGCTGGTTGTGTGGGGTTGCATCTGCTCCTGCAGTCTGTCTGGTGTCAAAATGCAGGTGTGAGGCCTCAGGAGATGAGGTGGAGAAGGAGGCTGGTCTGGGGAGTTGTGCCAGGGCTTAAGGACGGGGAAGTTTGCTGAAGCCTTTTGATCTGCTTCATCTGGCAGGTCTGTCACTCGTCATAGTTACAGTGCTGTTAAATGGATTACTGAGCCTCCCTGCACTCTGAATTGATCGTGGTGTGGTTTAAATAAGACTTTATGTAGTCATGGTGGTAAAATGGGCTGTTAATACATGTCTAGTTCACCAGTCTGCAGAGAGCTGGTCCTGTCTAATAGCAATGCAATCTGCCCTGGAGATGGCAATGTGTAGGCCTGACCTCTCAGGCTGCCCCTTTGAGGGAATATGCAGGAGGTTACAACCCCTGAGCCTGCATTGCGTCAGCAGGCAGGAGATGGTCTTCTGCAGGACTTGATTTTACTGAGCTGGCTCCAGAACCACGGGTGCAGTGCCTGGTTTAGCTGTCTAATCCCGTTAGCTGCCTTAGGAGGAGCTATTTTCATTGTTCCGCAAACCTCTTTGCTTTAAGCCTATAAACTCCATGACTGGATAACTATGTGGGAAGCAGGTCGCTGGCATGGTGTGAGGAGGCATTGTGTGTTAAGACAACCTGAGGTCCAAACCCAGCAGTGGTGGAGCCTGTCCTGGCTGGGCTTGCCTGGGGCTCCCTAGTCACCCTGGACATGCGAGCTGCACTGCTTGAGACCAGCTCTGTCCCCTCAGTTTTATAATTTTCCCTTTCCTGCAGGGCAGGGTGAGACACGTACAGCTTGTAGAGGAAGGCTAATTTTGGGACCCAGCGTGTGCTGGCAGTTTGCAGCTGCCTTGGCCAAAGACAGGATTCTCCTCTTGGTTTAGTCCGTTACCAGCCGTCGAGCTCTGCTGCAGCAGTGATGCTTCTGAGTGAGTGCGGGAGGGAGGAGCTCAGACCTGGCAAATTTTCACGCCTGGCACAGCCATGGACACTCAGGTCCCTGGTCTATCCATGCACCAAGCGTGGCATGGAATATTCCAGGTCAGCCCTCGTGTCCCTGGGCAGTGCTGCAAACGTGCACCCTGCTTACAGCCGGCTGGAGGGCGGGGTGGACACACACTGTGGCTCCTGGCTTTCTGCAGGCCTCATTCTCCTCTCCTGTTTGCCTCTGAAACTTCCATTGCTATCACTGAAGTGTTAGATTGTCCAACCTTCGCAGAGACCAGAAGGCTAAATCATGGACTAAATGAAAGCTCTCTCACAGGCTGTTTTTAATTTAATTGGGCTCTGCTCTTTTCCCCATGAGGAAAAGGAACCTTACATTTGATTCGAAGCTTCAGCAGAGATTTTTGTGCAGGCTCGTTAGGATTCCTCCTCCACAATGTGCTGCTGGGCTTTTTTTTTTTGACAGAAAGAATTGTCAACAAAATGAATCACATGGTTATGCATTATGAAAACGTGATGGTGAATTTCAGCTGTGTTCTTCTATTTTGGGGTTCTGATGTGAGATTGGGAGCTCTGGGAGGAGCGATGTCTTCAGCACTGGTGTCAGGCAGTGCTTCATTTTCCATAATCTCCTGCTGTTTTTATCAGTTGTTTGCTTTTAACTAGATAGAGGTGTATTGCTGGTACAGCTCCCAGTTTCTCTGCAAGGTGTGGAGCCTGCTCCTCCCCCTGCCCCCGGCCGTGTCTTTGCCATTGGGCAGGTGAAGAGGATTTTGTGCCCCAGTCACGACTGGCAGGGGCCGTTTCCCTTCCCTAGCGTGGTCAGGATCTTTCAGCTGTGGCTGTCTGGAGGGTTTCTTTGACTAGTATGACACGGTCCTGAATGCAGCAGATTTTTACTAAGCTCAGGAAAGCTTTGTAAATAGGTGAAGGTCCTCTAAGAAGTCTGGCAGTGCCCTGGGCACAGTCCTGGGGCTTGGATCCCTCCTTCCACACTCTCCAGGATGACTGTGCCATCGTGTCCCTCCATGCCTCTGCTTTTCCATCTGTGACCTTTCCAGTTCTGGAAGCGAATGTTATGCTGCACAATTAGGTGGCTGTGGTGGGTTTGTGAAGGATCCCACAAGAGGCAGGAGATGTTAAGTTTAAGCTGTGCAGCAGCCATAGCCTGTTCGAGGATTGCTGGGGGATGACAGTTGTTCTTTTTTAGCTGGTTCTGGGTACACACGACGATTGCAGAGAAACAAATCTGTGTCATTAAACCCAGATAACCCCAGGAATTACAGCCCCACCTCGGCTCTGGGCATGTGTCTGTCACACGAGAGACAAACCCTGCCCCCGCGTTTTTAGCTGGCTCATTTTGGGAGGGGACAGCTGCTCAATGCTTGGCAACACCAGCCCCTCACTCCCAGAGCAGCTTCTTCCCCAGCTCCCCCCAGGAGGAGCCAGAGGTGTGAGTGAGACCCCACTGCAAAGTCCATAAGAGAACGCTGGAAAATGAAGGCAGCTCGGGAGCACTGGTACCATATAAAATATTTATTGATTTTGCAAAATGTTGTAAAATGCGTCTGTAATAAAAATAAGAAACCTTGCTGTGCATCTTGCACATTTTTATACCAACAAAAGGTATTGTTTCCCCACTGCTGCACAGCAGCAAATATAACCCTTCGCTTCTTCCAAGTCTTGCACTTGCCGTGTCCTTCAGCCATCGCCTCTCTTCGTGCTGGAACCACCTCCAGGTGCGACTGGACAGCAGTCTCTTGTGCTTGGTTGCTCAGCAGGCACCTCTCTGGCCGTGGGGCTCTTAGTGGCCAGCCTGTCTGGTCACCAGGGCCCTCTGCACTGCCACCGGCTTCTTGCTTTTTTCCACTATCAAATCCTCCTGTTTCTGGGGAACCGTTTGCTCTTGCATAGGGGCAGGTTTCTTCTCCTCCTCCTCCTCTAGCCTCCCCTCCGAGGTGAAAGGACTGCACACCGTCTCCACCAGCCCAATGACCACGCCAAAGAAAGCCAGCACGCTGCCCAGCATGTACAGCTTGACCATTTTCCTGTTGGGCTTCTGGCTGAGCACTTCTTTGGCAAAGGGGATCAGCTCATGCATGGTTTCCATTTTACTGCAGCGGGTTTGGAAGATGTCAGTTCTGCAAGAGAAGGGAGAGGGACAGGGGGGTTAGTCAAATCCGGGTGCTTCCTCCTGAGCAGCCAGACCCCTCCATGCAGCCCAAGCTCTGCGCAGCCCCCCGAGACACCCCCGGCCCAGCTTCAAGCAGCGACGTTTGGTGTTTGCTCCTTCAGGAGGAGGGATCCCGAGCCGGGGGGG